TTGCAGCGACTGCAGCAGATCCTGGAGGGAACTGGGTCTGAGCCAGAAACTGTCCCTGGCTGGCCGTCTGGCCTACGATGTTACCCCCGCCATGTCCGGCCATCATGCCCTGAGCCTGAGGCATCCTGGAGGGAGACATCCCCATCTACAAGGCAGAAAAAGATGATGTTACTATGAGCCAAGTGACACGAGATGCACCACAGTACGCATGATCAGTCCACGTACAGTCAGAGCTGGGCGATATGACTTAATATCATCTAGATATTTTTAGCGCGATACACACAGCGGTGCATAAAAAACTGAATGAAAGGAATTAATGTGCATTTCAAAGCTTTTAATGATTAACACAATATTTTTTTATCAATGGGACTGATGACAACTAAGGAAATATGGTCGGTACATCTGCAAAGCCCATTATCAGCTGATTTAAGCAGGACTGAAACTCACAAAATTGCTCATGACGCACATCTTGTATTCACTGTGGCCCTGATCTTTAAAAACGTAATAACAGGGCACATTATTTTGTACTAAAAGGTCAATGCCGCCATGCCACACATGGGTTCCCTAATGCTCCAGGTGGAATAATCTGTCTAAACGCGACAGTGCAGAACAAGAAACTGTCTGCTCTTAACTTTACGAGTTACCTGCTTCTACCAACAGCAGTTCTTTTGCTTTTTTATTACCATCTAAAAATTCAGAGAGCTGACCAGTCAACTACATTTTTAATAAGCCTGCGGTATTTTGTCAGAGTGTGAATTTACCAGCAACTGGGTGTTAGCTCATGTTACTTATATGCCTGTGTGTGGGTGTATGTATGTTAGTGTGATTTGTGTGCCGCCCCCCCCGCCCTCCTCACCGCTGGGACGGAGCTCATGTTCATTTGCTGTGGGTGATTCATGGGCGAGGCAGCTCGGGCTCCCATTGGTGTTTGTGATATCTGGGCATTGGGCAGAGCCATGTGGTTGAACTGGTTGATTCCTGTACAGAAGAACAGACCACAGTGTCCAGCAATGAACACACACAACTCATCAAGAAGTGCAGAAGCGCCACACAATGCCATGACAGTGTTGAAAGTTTTGATGCTTTCTTTTGTTCTTATACATAAACTTTCAGTTCATGTTAAACCTTTACATGTTCATTTATCTGTGACTGTTCTGCTTCACTGAAACACCTCTTTATTAAGATATCCCGATAAATAAGCTCAGCATTGCTCCTTTTACCTTAATTATCTTTTCTGCTGCTCTTTATATTTATGTTCCACATTGTTGGTCTTTACAACCTCCTTTATTATTTGTCTTGTTTCTTTTATGTTTTGCTAGTCTTCTGGTGCCTCTCTTGCTTAGTAATGTGACTTTCCCAGATTCTGACTTGTATTGTTTTAATTATCTCATTGTTATCTGAAAATACTATGTGCAACATGCAACATCCAAGATGTACCTTGTGAGACCTGCATGCGATTCATGATCTGATTTGGCATGTTGGGTAGAGGAACAGGTCCATCTATAAAAGCAAAAAGAAACAACACTGAACCAAAAGACAAACTGAAAAATGACATAACTGACTAATTAAAAAAATCTAGTTATTTATTTGTAACCTTTTTACAACAATACAAAACAATGTATTACCATTACACCATGATGAATGGCTGGATATAAGGCAATATGTATAAAGTCTTCCTTTGTAGAATGTGGAATTTTATATTGTAATACATTTTCTGGAAATTCAATTAAGAAAGGTAAACACCATCTATGGATAAATAAATAGTCAATAAAATACCTGACAAATCAAGAAACCTTATCACAATGGCAATATTTCACACAGTGGCCTAATGCAAGCAGAGATATTAAAAAGAAAGGTCTACCTTACAGCAATATAGCAAGATCTCTTCAGGCCCCCACAAACTGTCTCACAGCATGTATCGTATCAGTATGACCCAACCCCAGCTGGGTAATATATTAACTTGGCCCTACAGCTTTACAGCCAATGATACATTCTTTTTAATAACTAAGAAAAAAAAGCAAAACTGCATAAAATATTACATACTTGATGTGTGTCAGAGACATAAATACCCATGGCTCATTAAACTGTTTAAAAACCGTTCGGAGTAACCTTTAAAATAATCTGAGATTTTACCTGAAACTCTATAAGTCTTATAAATATTGCACTCACTCTGCGGCCTTGGACCAAAAGCATTGGGCTGGGCGAGGCTCGGCTGCTGGGCCCCCTGGGCGGCCAAAGGTGCCTGGTTGATGATCTGCTTCTGTAGCCTTGAGCGCCTCTTCTCCTCCAGTTCCTTTTGGATTTTATATATTTTCTCAGCCAGGAAGTGATAGTACTCATCCTGGAGGAAGAAAAGGGAAGATAGTAAAGTTGACCCAAGCGTTTATTTTGTGACTATGCTAACAGACTCTGTTTGTGTGTGGCTTTGATAAGGTGAGCCATTTAAGGTATATCCATAGTTGAGGTCAGTTCAGAAAACCTACCCGGCTGTTAGCTGACTCGTACATGTCCCCCTCCACCTTTCTGGCATAGGCCACCAGGTTTTCCATTCGTCTGTCCTTCAAAGCTGCCGGGTCAGGGGTGGGGAATATGGCTTGTACTCTGCCACAGAGGAACAGGATTTGCAGCAATTAATATTTCAGGCAATTTCTACTAGTGTTCTTGAAATCTTTGCTTTAAAAATCAAGCTGTGAAATAACAGTCGAGAGGGTGACTAAAGATACTAACAAGCATTAACCAACTGTTAACATATCTCCAGCAGGGGTATGCACTTACAGTTTGTGTACGAGGTGATTGCGCAGGTCCTGAGTGACGTGCTCATGCCACGCTTTCCTGGTGCCCGTGGCAGAGATGGGTGCTGCTGTGGGTAAGTTGCCCATTGAGCCCACAGCTGTGCCGTCTGACAGCAGCTGACTGGAGGTGGAACAGGAGGACGGTTATAAGGTACAGCTTTTATTTTTGTGTTTTTAGTAAAACGTCTCCGTCATAATAGTATGAGATATAGTAAACCTAATCTAAGTTTCCTGCAACTGAAAAAAACAACAAATGCAAGGTAGTTATTAGCGGGGACTGACTTGTTAGTGTTGAGTGTGTTGGGTAGGGAGTCTGCCTGCAGGTTTGTCTGGTCTGAAGTGGTCACGCCCATTGTCGCACCTCCAAGAGCCATCTGGTTACCTGTAAATACAGAAAGCTGTGAGCAAAAATCGACTGAAGAGTCCTCTTATTCAACAAAGAACATACTAATAGTTTGACTTGATCAATAGGCAGCTTGACAACTAAAACAATTTCAAAACTCAGGCAAACCCACACAGTTTGATTTATTTAACATAATTCTGACAGAGCACCCAATATCGTACAGTTTGTTAAAGTCCTCATACAAAAAGCAGGAATAAAAATCGGCCCGTCTGGAATTACCAAGTGCATTGATGGATCTCATCTGCTGCGAAAGCTGCTGTTGTTGCTGGGCCTGTGCATTCTGTGTGCCCGCTGCCTGTCCTGGGCCCGGGGCCTGCTGGGTCTGGGCCTGCCCAGTGGCCTGGCTGCTGTAGGGCAGCCCAAGTGCCGCATAGGCTCTCTGCATGGAGCTGGGGTCTATGGGGGTTGAGGTATTGATGGTGGGAGCACTGGGCTGGCCCACACCAACTGAGGACATGGGGTTCTGGAGGCCTGCATTGGGAGAGCTCAGCATGGCTGGGGAAAAGAGCAGAACGGACAGTCAATCCAAAACACTCAAATACAATCAAACTGTTAGCAGTAGTTACAGCACTTCCTCTAATGCTGCACCATCTACATTACATAAACAAAATGTTCAAACTGTGTGCAAAGCCCGATAAATATGAAAAAAAGTCAGTTTTGGTGGAAGGACAGCAAAGATGTATACTTAAAACAGGTAGTGCACATGCATACACACACTGACCTCTGGCAAGATGAAGTCACATGGCATCATGATACAGTGAGAACATTAACGTAAAGTTAAACGCTTTAAACAGCAGTGAACTGAATTCATGCATGAATCCCTTCAGGGGACAGAACATTAGCATATTTTTTCAGAGTTCAGGCTTTGGTGGGGCTAAAAAAGCTCACAGTTGGTGCAAAGACAAAAATCGGAGGAGGCAGAACAAAGAAATACTGCGCTCTGTTTGTGTTGGCAGGAGAAACACAAGCCCCGGCATCATGTTCTTTAACATGCAAGCCAAACAGGGACAGATCAACACTGGAATGCTGTAAGTGACGATAAATGCTGAGCAGAGCGGTGAAGTAAAGACAAAAAAAAAACCTGAAGGGGAACAAAAATGCAAAAGAGAGTTTAAAAGGGCATAAAAGAAAGAAACTGTGAGCCTGTGACATTTACATGGAAAAAGTGAAAAAGAAAACAGAAAGAAAAGCAGTTAAAGTATGAAGCCGAGAGAGTGTCACACTCCGCTCTGTTCTAGTGGGGAGGAGCAGTAAACAGCTCAATAGCCAATGGCTCAGCAGGACACCTCTGGCACACGCTCTTCGTTTCCTCCCTCTCTCCCTCCATCACACTTCTATACCTCCTGTGTGTCAGATTACAAGCCCAGCAGGACCACGCTCTTATTCCTCAAGTGCTTTTAGACATTTTAGATGAGCACAATCTTAGATATAAACTGCCTGACCTGAACGGCAAAACATACACACATTCTACACACCAACACCTTTAGCTGGTTTCAGGAAAGCAACAAGCAGGTCTAATTATTTCTATGGCTGTCACTGCAGACTATTAGAGCTCGATATACCAACGTAATCTCCTGTAATGACGGAGATAAAGATTGAGTCCATGGTAAGACAAACCCGGAGCTTGCCATGTCTAGATGTCCTGCTCAGTCAACACAGTCAAAGGAAGTAATGCAGCCTTGTGTTTGGTGTCCGTGGTTATGTTGAGCAACTTGACAATGGTTAAGCGACAGTGGGCCTGCTACTTGTACTTACGCTGCTGGGTGCGCTTGTCACTGGCATTCTTCAGCGGCAGGCAGACGGGACAGTCGTGTCGTGTGCAATTTTTCCAGTGGGAGATGATCTGTCTGGAGGACGCACAGTGAGCCACTGCAGAGAAAAAGAAATGGAGCGAGAGCAACAGGGTTAGAATCTTGATGCTGACAGTTTGCCGTGTTTTGTCACCATTAAGTACTCAACACTAAGGAGGGGCAACATCCCTTGAAATTAGTCTCCTAATTATCACATTTATTGTGGTAATAATAAACAGCTGAAACTCTCCTTGTTCTTGATACCTTGGACTCAATGACTTTTTCTTGTTATACTTTCAAGTCAGAGGAACACAAAATGATCCGTCACGTATTGTGAATTTCGCAACGAATAGAATAATACAACGCAACGGCCTCAGTGTGGAAGGTGTCGATGTGAAACGAATTTAATCTGATGACGGATTTAAAAAACACATACAAAAAATACAGACTGGATGTGCCTTTAGAGTGAAGGTAAATTACATCGTTTTAACAGCCAGGTCGAAGCATTCAGAGACGACTTCCTCAGTTTATAAAGAACTCACAAAAAGAACGCCAGCACACACTGACAGACAGTAAGTTGTTGTTACAATGACTTAGATGTGATTCATTCTTTTTACTGGTTTTGGTAAATTTGTAAATGACTGCCTGGCCTGATTAAACACGGTCTACTAGGAAAGTTTGTTTTCAACTTAACCTGGCTGAAACCCAGTTATATGAAAACAACACTATACGTAAAACAGTGAAAACATGGACTGTGCATTAAGCTCAAAACTAGGACAGAAAGGATGGTCCTAGTGGTCTTCTAAGAAAAAGGCAACAAGGACATAAGAAAAATGTATAGGAAATGAGACAAATGGACAGCCAGAGCTAATGAGAGAAACTAGAGAAAAGAAATGTGTTTGCCCAAAACTGGAAGATCTCAAGTTCAGCTCACTGCACTCATTTCCACTCTTGGAAGGCCGCTGGTTTGGCCCAGTGAAAATGGAACCTAAACTGTATTTCCTGGTGCGTGGCTGAACAAACAGAGGTGCTTCATTTCATTTGTGGCCAGACTAATGTGCTAGTAGCTAATCTGACAAGTAATCACAAGCAGGCTAAAATCACCCTAGCTAGCTGCCTGGCACAATTACTACAGGGCTTCAAGCTTCAAGGGCTATGCACAAATAAACACAATTAAAATGTATCATCTTTGTAAGAACGCCAATACTACTGGCAAAGGCTGAAACATAGCAAGGCTATCATGTTGATGGCCTTTTGTAGATTCAGTATGCAGTGATGAACAAAGAAGAGGCCTCATATTGAGGTCCAAAGCCAGTCCATGCACCAGTCATATCGCAGACGCCACAGTCCCTCAGGTGAAAAAGAACTAACAACAGTTATCAGAAAAATCTGACATTTTAGAAACGATTCCCGCCTGTGTTAGGTAACAACATCTCTCACCACGGTTATTTCAGTGGCACCATAAAGCAGAGATTCTGAGCAGGAGGAAATGAGCTGGCATGCAGGGAACAGAGACATAGACCCCTTCACTCTTAACGCACTTTGGCCTCTGAGCGCGTTTGGCTCGAAATGTAACTTAAGCATTCAAGTCCAGGGCCAGAGCAAAGACACACAGCCAAATTTAAATGAGGGGAATTTTTTCAATGCAGCAATGCTGGTGCTGCCAAAGGAAGGTGGGAGGTAGGGCCTGGAGGATCCAGAGCAGACAAGACAGACAATATCGCCAATCCAGAGAGAGAAACTGGTGGAAGGAGGAACAGCAGACCTAGATCACAATGTCAGTGTGGATTGAAGGTAGAAATTCCCCATCGTGCCAACTTGTGTATATGTTATCAACATTTAATCTCGACTGCCCACTCCTAACACCCAATGTCCCATTCGGGGAATCCCCATCTATGTTGATGCCATTTTCAAGTAGTTTCCCACTAATAATGTTATAATGAGTATATCATTGCTTGCTTGTTTTACATAATGTGTATTTTCACCTTCTATTTTCTAAATGTGAAAGGTGTAAAACCCATCCAGACTAAGAAGGTTGTATAAACATTGGGCATGTAATAAATTACACTTATGTAATAGAACTACACAATTTAGCCCAGAATAACACAATTTTTGAAGGACTAAACACATCTTTTGTATTGTATTGTGTATGTATTTGTTTACTTTCTTAGGATGAACACTGTTTAACAGCTAATTGAGTTATGGTGTCCTACCCCTTTATTAATGTGATTACACAGCAGCAACGTCTCAGTCTGTAAAAAGGAGTGCTGACTTCTGCAAACTTCTCAACACCAGGAAATTGTCAATTTGATTTCATTATCTGATTGTTTTAAATGCTCCAACTCACCCTGGCAGGACTTGCCGGCCTGGCAGTGGGTCATGTGGTTGAGGACGTTCTTCATGGTGCGGCAGTGAGGCAGGGCGCAGGCCCTCACCTCCCCGTTGGCCTGCTCCCGTCGCTGGCACTTGTGTGCATGAAGCAGCAGGACCAGCTGCTGCTGGATCAGCTTGCGCTTCTCTGGGTCGGCTGTGGGGCCTGCCGAAGGCACTGCCACACCTCCACCGCTGGCCAGTGGGAGCATCGCCGTCTGCTGCTGAGGCTGCTGCTGGAGCTGCTGCACAGTTGACAAAGAAAAAGGCAGACAAATGTCAATGTTGTAATGGGTTAAAATAATGCCTTCAAACTCTTTCTGCTGTACTGTGCTGTCAATACCACAGTTATAGACGTAAATGTATGTCCAGTCACCTAAAAAGCCCCAAACCACTTTTTCATCTGAAAACCTGCGTATATGGGTAATCTGTAATGCTGCTGCTCAATTCATGTCCAAATCTTGACATTTCAGCGCAAAGTATTTGAGTTCTATATATTATGCTACAAAAATGCTTACAATTTAATTGCACAACACAGTAACTATAAAACTGCAACCTGGGATTATAATCTACATACTCAATGGCTGACTAATGTAGTGTAACTACTCCTCTGGTAACGTCACACCAAAGACGCTCGCAATGGTAACTTTCTGAACCATCTCTGGTTACAAATATATTTGTGTAAGTGGGAGAAATCTTGCACTACTGACACTGGAAAAATTTTGTTTGTTTATTTGCAGCATTGCATGTATTTTTAAATGAGAAAATTATTTTAAGGGCACAACTGTTTGGCATTGGTATAATTCCTGCCCTGCTTTGTAACTTACCACGTCATGGGCAGACAACATGGTGTTAAGCTGGAGATATACTTGCTGTTTAACCATGCAGAACACTACACAAACCAACAGCGCAAACGTACCCACGACACACAAGATTGCAATCGTGGGCATGCAAACGCGTAGTTAAACACAAGTAAATCTCTTGCCTTAGTGGTTCTTTTTATAACAAGCTAAGGTGCAGGACAAGACATGTTTGTAAGTTAGAAAAGGAGGAAGGAATCTAATGTGGTTGTTGTTCTGGGGTCAACCACACACACGTATTTGCAATTGTTTGAGGCTGCGACTTTTTCAAAGTTCACCAGTGTTGAATTCCACAGAAAGAGCAGATGCAAATCTGTTTTGCAACCAGAAGCGAAGGTTTTTTTTTCACTGCTTTGTTTGCATAGAAAAAAGTAAAGGGAGGCAAATATTTTCCAATGTAGATTTTGTGCATGTGTGATTGTGCCCTTATGCAAGATTTGATTGGCTGCATTAAATTAAGGTCTCTATCTACGTAGACTGATAACTAACAGTATTCTGATTTACAATCATAAAACCAGAGTTGTTCCGATTCCGATACCGAAAATGCTGGCATCGGTATGAGTGAGTACTGGAGTCCAGGCACCGATCCAATACCACGTCATTTATTAAATTAGTAATCTATTT